CTGCAAGATATAAAATATATAAATTTTAAAAATACTTCAGAACTAGTCAGAAACAGTAATACAATTCCTCATTTGGATTAATTCATGCATAGGGGTTTTTGAACTATGAAAATTTACACTACTTTCTATTCAGAGAAAATTACTCAAAATTTCAGAGAATTTTCCAAAATGAAATTTAACATTTTACCTCTATTTCTAAATATACTGAATTAAAAATTTAAGAATGCATTCTCTTGTTAAAAAACACTTAATTAAAAATATCTGAAATGTAATTTGAATTTTTTTTTTATTCTGAAAAATCTGTGTCAAACATTAATTAAAGAAGTTTTAACAACACACACATTTGTAAAAATGACATATATGGTAATCGAAAATTAAATAAAAAAAAATGTTACTCTTAAAAATTAATTAAAGAGGTCATTCGAAATTATTAATGTATTTTCCTAATATGGGAGGTTCAAAGTAAGAAAAAACTGAAATTATCTTGCAGTACTTTTAAAGTGAAATTTTGATTTACAAAAATTAGTCATGTTTACGTAAGTTGTATACATGACAGTAAGTGCCAAGAAGAAAAACAATGAACTTGCCAATTGCCACTTTTGTGAAAATTGCCTACAAATGTTCATAACAGTATCTCAGTAACCAGCTATAAATTTTGGATTGAACTGGTCTCATTTCATTAACTTTTTGCTCACTACGCACTTTCTGCTCACTGGCGAGTTTGTCCAATTTTCTTCTTATCACCTTAATTAACAGTTAGTTTCAGTAAAAATGATATTACTTGTAAGGTGCATACATGAATTAAAAATCAATATTTGAGTAAAAATATTACTTGCAAGTTGTAAACATGAATTAAAAGTTTGTTTCAGTAAAAAAAAAGCATCACTGGCACAACACTGATTTTCTGGCAATGGATGGGCAGGCACCTCTATTAATCTGGACAAAATTATAGTACTAGTTTACTGGGCAGCCATAAATAACATTGTGTGTTGTGTGCACTCACTTATATTAGACTGTGGGTGGTGATCCATTGATTTTTTGCAATTCTAAGTTTATTTTGCTAACAACCTGAGATATGGCTAAGGTAAATAGCTATGCTTCTGGCAAAGTAACTGAGTTATCAGGTGAATTAATCAAAGGACTAGTACAATGTTCCTTAGTGACAAAATCAGATGTAATGAATTTTTATTTGATGTAATGTTTAAAAAGATAGCCAAGAAGAATGTGTGTCATAGCAGTAAGACTATAGTGTATATATATGTTCAAAAATTTTGAAAACTGAAGCAGACAGAAATACTGTCAGTTTAATTTGTATATACAAATTAAATTTTTGTGCAACAAAATTTGAGTACTAAAAAAAATAACACAAGTAGTATCCATACAAAATCATGTTCTATTGTTTATAATTAAAAAAAATTAAGAAAAAATAAACAATACTGGCCCCATTCAGTTACACCCACTGTTGCCATCAAGAGATCCATGACCTTCAACTTTGCACCAACACTTCCAATACTATAATTTAAGATTTTTTTTTTTTTTTTGCAACACAGGAGGGACACACAATTTTGGGGCAGTGTAAGGGTTAAACAACTGTAACATATATAATGAGCTAAAAAAATTACACTTAATCAGCCCAGTCATAGTTATTCCATTTATCTTCTTGAAACCAATCTTTTACTGTACCTTAAAAAGCTTCCATCCTATCCATTCTAACCTGTGAATTAAACTTCTTGAAAAAAAAAAAGCAATAAATCCTGGACTTAGGAGAGAGGCAATAATATCAAGTTCTATAACCTGCACAAACTGCACTGCTGTAGAAAGCTAGAGCATTTCACCCTTTCATGGAAGCTATACAACTTGACTGTCCATCACATAGAACTATGTTACTAATGCCAGGATTCATCACATAGATCTGCATCATGAGCTCAGTTCACTCAAATAAACTGTGAACAGTAAATTTTGGCCTAGATGTGAGAGAATAGGTCTGTTCAGTAAGTATGCACAATATAAAACAAAAACTGCCTCAGGTGATGCATGATGGGAAAAGTAAAACTCAGACCTTGTGTTTGGCTCAACCCTTTAACTCTAGGAGACCCTAAAAAAAATTCCTGTCTTTGTAGGAAGATTTTGAAAAATAAAAAGTTGATATTTTTTCTTGCAGTCTAATAAAAGTTTATTTTTGTGAACTGAGTAAGATTAAAATGAGTGAAATCAGATAAAAACTTACATTTGTGGTGTTGAAGTTAGTGAAAAAACTATTACTCATCGACAACAGTGCCAGCGATGTTTACATTTAACAGTTTACTGAAGCCAAGACATGATTGTCTTTTCTGTTTTTTTTTTATTACTTTCAACCCATATCCCTTAAACTGTCCAAACATAAGCGTAGCGCTCCAAACGTAGATCTACATTTTTTTTACATAAGAAAGCATGTAAAATCGAATGTAGATCTACATTCGGAGTGCTACGCTAGCAAATGCAGATCTACGTTTTCACTGCCAGCAATTTTCTGTGTATAATAAGACCAAAAAAAAAAAAAATTATGATCAGTACTTACCGAGATATAAGAGCGCAAATTTGGCACTGGATGCTCACCTGATGGCAACATGGAGTCCTGTTGCTTGCAAAAGTGTTGCCAATATACCTTTTTTCTTGTTTTTATTTTAATTTATATAATTTCTAAGTTCTGATAATTACAATTTATAATAGTTCTTGTGATTTCATCTTTGTTCTGACACTAATATTAGGTATTGAAATAGTACTCAAATAGTCACAAACACAGCCACAGGTGAACACTTTCACCTGCCTTGGTCATTTACTATTGTCTAGAAATATATACAAAGTATTTATAGGTCCCAGCAATGTTTTAGACACACTGCATTATATACGAAACTCCTTGAAGCATGATAAAAGATCAGTGTCACTCCACTGCTGACAGTGAAGCAGTGGAATGACACTTGATGATCGAGCACTGCTGCAGGGAACCCTGGCTTTGTTTGTTTTCACTGTTACACATGAACATGTCTGTCTGTCTGTCTAGCTTTGTCTGCTTATCTGTATTTCTGTCTGCCTGTGTGTCTCTCTGTCTTTCTGTCTCCCTCTATGTGTGTATCTTTCTGTCTGCCTGTGTGTGTCTGTCTTTCTGTCTGCCTGTGTGTCTCGGTCTTTCTGTCTGCTTGTGTGTCTCTGTCTTTCTGTCTGCCAGTGTCTCTCTGTCTGCTTATCTCTCTGTCTCAGAGAGCAGCTCATGAATCAACAGGTATTACACACACTGCAGAGGCATCATGTCTGATTCCTGATCAAGTGAAAATGCGTATCACTTGCCAGTCATGCTTATTATGCCTTATACCTACAAGCACAATATAGCACTCTGGATTTTTTGGGTTATCCTAGGCAATTTACACTATGTATGATAACTGTGGCTAATGCGACGGTCTGGAGTTTTGAGACTCTCTGCTCGTGGGTTCTATCCCCGCCCGTGGTATGGTTTATGATAACTGTACTTATGTGTGCCTTTGAGAGAGAGACAGACAGACACAGACAGACAGAGGCAGATACAAAGAGACAGCAATAGACAGAGACAGACAGAGACAGATAGACAGAGACATACAAAGAGACAGCCAGCTGTCTAGCCAGCCAACCGACCTGTTGAATGCATATTACACATGTTCCAGAATTGTTTATCTTTACTTAGGTCATAGGTTATAGGACATTCTGGCAGGATGACACTACCAGTGGTATCAAAAACTGAAAGGATGTTGCATAAATGATGTGCATGTGGTTATTATTGAGGTTTTTGATATTTCCTAGACCACTTGTGGCCACATCCATCTCAAAGCCACTAAATTTGGAGTCAACATCACTTTCCTCTTAAAGGGGGTAGTGTTAATATGACATGACATAAATGAATCCCTGGTGTTTGCCATGCTATTTGCTCTAGCTGGCACTCAATTGAGCTAGTGTTCCCACAAGGTACTAAGTTGTCCCAGATTTTTTTTAATATGGTGCACACCTTGTGTTAAGACCCATTCTATACTGTCCAGGCATCTCAGGCCAATCATGCCAAATTTGAAGGCAGGAAAAATAAAACATTGCTCTATGTTTGGAGCACTAGCAGTACTAACGTAGATCTACGTTTGGACAGTTTAAGGGTTAATGACCAACACTCTGTGCACTAGTTTCTTATGATAGTAAATGTATTTAAAAATGTTTTAGCACTTTAAACATGGGGAAATGCTTAGCCCAACATTGCTCCACTTGAAATAATCAGTAAATATATATATATATATATATAATATATATATATATATATATATATATATATATATATATATATATATATATATATATATATATATATATATACATATATATATATATATATATATATATATAAATATATATATATATAATATATATATATATATATATATTATATATATATTATATATAAGAGGAGGCTGGAGGCAGTGGAGATGTCATGTCTGAGGGCAATGTGTGGTGTGAATATAATGCAGAGAATTCGTAGTTTGGAAGTTAGGAGGAGGTGCGGGATTACCAAAACTGTTGTCCAGAGGGCTGAGGAAGGGTTGTTGAGGTGGTTCGGACATGTAGAGAGAATGGAGCGAAACAGAATGACTTCAAGAGTGTATCAGTCTGTAGTGGAAGGAAGGCAGGGTAGGGGTCGGCCTAGGAAAGGTTGGAGGGAGGGGGTAAAGGAGGTTTTGTGTGCGAGGGGCTTGGACTTCCAGCAGGCGTGCGTGAGCGTGTTTGATAGGAGTGAATGGAGACGAATGGTTTTTAATACTTGATGTGCTGTTGGAGTGTGAGCAAAGTAACATTTATGAAGGTGTTCAGGGAAACCGACAGGCCGGACTTGAGTCCTGGAGATGGGAAGTACAGTGCCTGCACTCTGAAGGAAGGGTGTTAATGTTGCAGTTTAAAAACTGTAGTGTAAAGCACCCTTCTGGCAAGACAGTGATGGAGTGAATGATGGTGAA